TAGTTGCTGCCTGAATATGTCAGGCAACCATATTGTTCCAGAATACAATCTTAAGTCTGAAAGCAAGTAGAAAAAGCTCTGAGCTCCAGAAATAGCTGACCCAAAAAAACATTAACATGTAGCCTTCGGGCTCTGATGCAGCTGTTAACATACACATTTTGACAGTTTCCTTTTAGATTTCTTTGGCTCACAGAAAAGGTAGCAGGGAAATGTGCTGGGGAGGCAGAGTCATCCTAACGACCGAGTCGGGAGGTGTCAGAAAAGGTGACATCTCAGTGCTTGGGAATGCAGAAACATTTTGAAATTGTCAAAGTAATTTTTAAAATTTTATTAACTAGGCTGGCGCCGCGGCTCACTAGGCTAATCCTCCGCCTTGCAGCGCCGGCACACCGGGTTCTAGTCCCGGTCAGGGCGCCGGATTCTGTCCCGGTTGCCCCTCTTCCAGGCCAGCTCTCTGCTGTGGCCAGGGAGTGCAGTGGAGGATGGCCCAAGTGCTTGGGCCCTGCCCCCCATGGGAGACCAGGAGAAGTACCTGGCTCCTGCCATCGGATCAGCGCGGTGTGCCGGCCGCAGCGCGTCAGCCGTAGCGGCCATTGGAGGGTGAACCAACGGCAAAGGAAGACCTTTCTCTCTGTCTCTCTCTCTCACTGTCCACTCTGCCTGTCAAAAAAAAAAAAAATTTTATTAACTACTCTTCCTCCATTTTCCTTAAAGATATTTCCCCATCCCCAGTTGAGCCAACATAAATCTGCAGAGCTCTTTAATCACGCGTGTGGTACACAGTTAAGTTTAATTCCCTTATTCCTCTGGAGTAAAGACAAGTAAGACATGGCCCTTGCCTACCATCAGTATTTGCCAGATCTTCATTGCATTTGGGACTTTTTTGCTCTAATCTCATTACTGCTTTGATTTACATAGTTAATATGTGTTGGCTATAATGTTGCAAAGTAATTTGCCATGGACCAGCATAGAGTTGATAGTCCAAAATGAGAGCTGCTTGCTTGCCTCTTTAAGGTAGTATTTCTTGACCTTTGTTCTGCCTTGCTATCGCTAACATGCACACATGTGATGGATTCCTGGTAATTACTGTAGTGGCTTTACAGTGTAGCACAGCAGGTCGTAGTCAGTCATACCTAACATCGTGGTGACCTGGAGTAGCAACATGATTCAAGCGGTGATCTTTATGTCATAGTTGTTTCTTCCTGGGGATAATATGAGTATTCAACTTTTGTATAAATGCGTTAAGTATATAACTGTAAATACATAAAGCATAGCAACTGCCATAGATTATTTTTAATTAGTTGCTATTATGTAGCAGTTGAAGGAATTGTGTTTGCTGGAATGCTAGTTCCTCCACCTCTTTCTCTTCTGATCTTGTCTGTGTTCTCAGAAATCCCTTACCTAGTATTTTTGTTTTGGGCTGCTGCTGTGTCAAATTAACTCCAAATGTAGCTGCAACATTAGGAAATTCTGTGATAGCATATAGAAATGTGAATTTCTGGTTTTGTTTTAAAAAGATTTATTTATTTGAAAGGCAAGAGTGACAGATTGAGGGGCAGATAATCCACCTGCTGGTGGCGCCAGTGCTTTAGCATAGTGGGTAAAACTGCCACCTGCAGTACCTGCATCCCATATGGGCTCCAGTTCGAGTCCTGGCTGCTCCACTTCAGATCCAGCTCTATTCTATGGCCTGGGTAAGCAGTAGAAGATGGCCCAAGTGCTTGGGCCCCTGCATCCACGTGGGAAGACCCAAAGGAAGCTCCTGGCTTCGGATTAGCACAGCTCCAGCTATTGGGGTCATCTGGGGGAGTGAACCAGCGATGGAAGACCTACCTACCTACCTCTCTTTCTCTCTGCCTCTTTCTGACTCTGCCTTTTGCTTTTCAAATAAATAATTTTTTTTAAAAGAGTGACAGGTGTGGGGGTGCATGATCCATCTGCTGGTTCACTTCCCCAAATGGCTACAACGGCTGAGCCAGGCCAAAGCCAAGAGTCAGCAACTCCACCAGAGCACTTAAACTATCTTCTGCTGCTTTCCAAAGCACTGTTAACAGGGAGCTGGATCTGAAGCCGAGCAGCCAGGACTCAAACCAGTGTTTTGATACGGGATGCTGGTGTCGCAAGCAGGAGCTTAACTGCTGAGGCACAACACTGGCCCCCACTGGTCTCGTTCTTAAAATGGGAAACATTTGGTAACATGGGCCTGAAGTTCTTGCATGGCCGCATAATTTTGAGTTGGGGTACCGGTGCTGCCTTGAGAGAGAGAAGGCAGATACCTGTTTGCCTCAGTCCTCACCAGTTATCCTCATGCATCTATGTCACTTGTCTGGCCGCCAAAACTGTGGAGGCCTCCCTCTATTCTCTTTGCTGCCGGGTAGCCAGGCTTTTAGGAAACGGGTTCTGAAAGGGGCAAATAACATTCGAGTCTCTTTGAGGGCTCAGGTGTGAGGACTTGGGCTTCAGCTTCTCTTGTGCACTCGGAATGTGGTCTTGCCAGTGACTGAGGAACAAGTAGAACTCATTTTTGTGTATATGCTGTTCTAAGAAACTTGTCATGGAATGTGTAGGTTATTGCTAAAACAATTTCTTTGCAACTGTGGAAGGCTGACTCTTTTCCCTATAGAGTTTTGGATGATGATGGATGAAAATAGCTTCGTTCCTCTGAGGTAAACTTGCTTAAATTATAGTTTCTGCCAAAGAAGCCTTAAACTATGTGAGAAGGAAAAGACTGGAGTTATCCTTTGAGCTTTTCTACCAGAGGTTCCTGGAACAGTTGCTAAGAACATGGAAGCAATTTTTTTTTCTTTCCAATTGACAGGTGTTAAGAATGCCTGACATTTACTCACTGGAACATTAGTTAAATTCAGTTGTAGGGGTGACAAGAGTGTTGCTATTTTTAGAACTGACAGTTGGTGCCGGAATCCATAGTGTCTTCTTAATTCACAATGTAAGTGTACTTATTCAAGTTTGAACACCTTAATTAATGCTCAAAACACAGCTTATGGTAAGCACTCAGATTTTTTGAATGAATGAATATATACTTTAGATCAGAGGTAGCCAACTACTACCTATCTGGCCCATGACCTGATTTTGTTCAGGAGCCAGGAATGGTGCTTCATGTAAGTATTTTTTAGAAGATTGTAAAAATAGCAAATAACAATGTAAGATTTTATGTGGGACATAAAACCTACAGTTTTTACTAGTTAGCTCTTTCCAGAAAAAAATGTGCTGATCCTTCCTTTAGCTGTTGGAGGTGCTACTTAACCCCCCTTTTCATTTATTACCTAATATTAAAATAAAAATTACGGGAGATGGTGGTAGGATGCTGTGACCTGCTATAGAACCGACATGTGAGGGCTTTGAATTTGGAAGCCAAAGAATTGCAGACACTGACTGTGCTTAGAAGCCTTTAAGAAGTGCTTTGGGCCGGCACCACGGTTCAATAGGCTAATCCTCCACCTAGCGGCGCCGGCACCCTGGGTTCTAGTCCCGGTCAGGGCACCAGATTCTTTCCCAGTTGCCCCTCTTCCAGGCCAGCTCTCTGCTGTGGCCCGGGAAGGCAGTGGAGGATGGCCTAAGTGCTTGGGCCCTGTACCCCATGGGAGACCTGGAGAGGCACCTGGCTCCTGCCTTTGGATCAGCGCGGTGCGCCGGCGGCAGCACGCCAGCCATGGCAGCCATTGGAGGGTGAACCAATGGCAAAAGGAAGACCTTTCTTTCTCTCTCTCTCTCTCTCTCTCTCACTGTCCACTCTGCCTGTCAAAAAAAAAAAAAAAAAAAAAGTGCTTTGAACACGACATTGAGCCCTTGTACTCTACAATGTCACAAAATTTCAGACCTGGAAGATTACTTCCAAATCTTGTCTGACCATCTCATGAATAAACTATGGAGAGTAAAGGAAATAAAAGGTTTTTCAAGATGAAATCAATTTTTAGAAGTAAAGCCTTTGCTCAACTGCCTTATTTGGTTAAGAAAAAAAAAGAGTTGTCAGTTCTTTGCAATCCCCAACTCCTTGAGGGGGCTCTAAAATCAGGCCCAGTCTGTCCAGTGATGCATGTCTTAGAGGCCTCAGTTGACCCTGGCTATGAGAAAATCCTGAAACTGTATACCTGTCAATAAAAGTTTCTATTCTTTTTGCCACTTTTAATGAAATTAAAAAAAAAAAAAGATATGAGAGGCAGAATTAGAGGTTTTCCCATCTGCCAGTTCACTCCCCAAATGGCCTCAATAGCTGGAACTGAACCAATCCAAAGCCAGGAGCTGCTTCCGGGTCTCCCACATGGGTGCAGGGGCCCAAGGACTTGGGCCATCTTCCACTGTTTTCCAGGCACATTAGCAGGTAGCTGGATCAGAAGTAGAGCAGCTGGGAATCAAACCGGTTCTCATAGTGATGTTGGCATTGCAGGCGGTGGCTTCACCCTTACACCACAGCACTGGCCCTGCCCCCACTGCATTTTTAACAAACACTAATTTACTTATGCACTAGTCACCATTTTAGACGCCTTACAAATGTTAACTATTTCTCTTAACCTTAGGAGGGTAGAAGCGATATTTTTGGTACCTGAAACCTAGTTTCTGTAGTAACACTCTGCCTCGTTATTGCTTATCAGATGCCTGAGATGTTAATGTTTGAATTATTTAGTTCAGATATCTTCAAGCATTTAGACTTGGTAACTTTAAGGTTATAGCTAATTCTCATAGTACCTTTTCAGTCTTCGCATTTAAAAACTAAATTTTGTAAGCTATAAATGATGTTAGAGATCTGAAGGTGGTGTGTCTTTGGCACATTCCCTGATCTCAGAAAACAGAATTAACCACTTGTTAGTGTGCTCAAGGGAAAAATGGGTCAAATCTACTAATTGTTTAATTGGGATTTTGAAATTTTGAACTGAGACTTCAAAGGGAAATATTTTAATGTACATCAAATTTTGATAGTAGGTTGGCATTTAGATGGCATTCTTACATTAGAAAACTTAATTTTTATTTGAATTTTTTTACAGTTTGCAGTGTTGATGTGGGTATTCACCTACGTTGGTGCCTTGTTCAATGGTCTGACTCTTCTGATTTTGGGTAAGTTGATAAAAGCACCAGCATGAAAAATGGTAGAGAAAGAACAGATGTGAGAAAACAGGCATTTTAGTAGAAAATAATCTTATAGGGAGATTGTGATCTTTCTATAAATTCCGATATGATACTCAGTTTACGGAAAGGCTGTTTAGCTCCTGGAGACTGCTGCAACTACCACAATAAACAGATAAAAGGTGGCCTTAGCTGATGGGGCAGTCATACAGCTAACCAGGGGCACCTGTAGTAAAACGTTGTGTTTCCTCTTTCAGCTCTGATCTCACTCTTCAGTGTTCCTGTTATTTATGAACGACATCAGGTAATTTCTTACCTGTTGATTGCAGAATGCAGTGCTCGTCCTATTACATAGCAGTACTGGTTTTTTAAGCCTTTAATTTGTGAATCCATAGTAATGGTTAATACAATTCTATAGCAATAGAAGTTCTCTTACAACTCCTTTTATATCTCTCTTTTAGGCGCAGATAGATCATTATCTAGGACTTGCAAATAAGAATGTTAAAGATGCTATGGCTAAGTAAGTAGTTAAAATATATAAGTTTTGTTTTTTAAATAAAGATAAGGTATGCTGGATTTTGAGACTGGTGTTGCATTTTTTACATTGTAGGCATTGAATAGCAAATCGTCAGACTTTAAAGGGTAACATTGGAGCAAAGTATTTTTTTCTAACATTTGGATCATTAATTTCTAGTTTTACTAGATATATTTAAGACTTTACTTAAATCTAATTTTTGGAGCCAAGGTGGCAAAATTATAGCTTATAACATGTGGCAGCCTTAGTTTGTCCTTATATAAACTGAATAATAAATGAAAAGTTATTGAAGGATGGCTTTTTAAGGGGCAGAAAACAAGATATTTACATTGACTGTTCCTCCTTTCTTTTTCATTTGTAGAATTCAAGCAAAAATCCCTGGATTGAAGCGCAAAGCTGAATGATAAACAATAGGAATTCATCTTTGAAAGGGGGGTGTTTATTTGCTTACATGGGGGAGGGTCAGGGAAGAATGAAACCTTGACATCACAGTGCAGCTTCACAGATCTTTATTTTTAGCAATGCACTGTTTGAGGAAAAATTACCTGTCTTGACTGCCATGTGTTCATCATCTTAAGTATTTGTAAGCTGCTATGTATGGATTTAAACCGTAATCATATTTGTTTTTCCTGTATGAGGCACTGATGAATAAAAAAAAGATCTGAGAAAGCTGTATATTACACTTGGTTGCAGGTAGTCTTGCTGTATTTTTGGAAAGTTGCCGAGAAAGTGGAGCTGGAAAAAATAACCCTTTTCACAGTTTGTGCGCTGTGTGTGGTCTGTGTAGATTGATGCAGATTTTCTGAAATGAAATGTTTAGACGAGAACATACCACTAAAGCAAGAATGAAAAAGCTTGCCTTTCTGATATGTTCTAGGTGTATTGTGAATTTTACTGTTATATTAATTGCCAATATAAGTAAATATAGATTATATATATCTATCTATATATAGTGTTTCACAAAGCTTAGCCCTTTCCCTTCCAGCTGTCCCCACAGTGCTTGATGTTTCAGAGTCATTGGTTACCATGTGTAGTTCCAAAGCACATAAGCTAGAAAAAGAAAATATATTTCTAGGAGCACTACCATCCTTTTTCAACATGAGACAATGCCATACACATAGAACTCTGACATAAACTTCATTGCACCGACTTACTTAGTTAATTTTGTCACAAACTCTGAATCTGTGGACTGAACCTAATGCTTCCAAAAATGTTGTTTGCAAATATCAAACATTGTTATGCAAGATATTATAAAATGGACTTATACCGTTGTGGTTTAAGCTGTACTGAACTAAATCTGTGGAATGCATTGTGAATTGTAAAAGCAAAGTATCAATAAAGCTTATAGACTCAAATGTATGTGGTATTTTGGTTTCGTGAAACTGCAGTAGATCAAAAGTGTACACAACTGGTAGACTTTGCTTCAACCAGTGAGTGGTTCCTTGTATTTGTGGAAAGATTTTCGGCTCATGGTGCAGGTGTGTTTACTTTGGATACTTTGAAAACAAAGAGCATGCTTACATAATCAAATTTATTTGACACATACCAAAATGTTTTTACAGTAGGCATTTTATACAGTAAGTGAAAATAAATTCATGCACCAGTATTTAAACATATAGAATACAGTACAGATTTATGAACATACACAAAACCATATATAAATGCTTACAAATAAGATTTAAGAAGGTTTCTTGACTCACGGACACTATTGCTCTTTAAATATAGTTGTACATGTCATCAATCAATTCGTTGTTCTTCCATATGGTTATTTCAGCGCGAGACTGGATCAGTATGAAAGGTCAGTAGTACAATATATTTAGGCAGACATGATTATCACTCAGTGTCATCAGTAACATGGTTACAGAAAACAGGACTGCAGAAGGACTCTACTATGGGCCCCACAACCTATTAGTGGATTAATGTAAGGCATTAGTAAACTGGCATATAAAAATAGCTTAATGAGTCATCTAATCCATTAGAATGCTGAAGCACTTCTGTGGTAAAATGTTGATCTATTATTTACTGAAATGCTTCATTTTACCTTTTTTCTAAAATGGCAAATGGCCAGGAACTGAAGATCCAGAATTTTAGTTCATTGAATGGAAGGTGTCTGTGTGCCAGAACCACCAGTCCACTCACCAACTTTGCTTTCAGTGAGCTGCATCCACCCTGCCCTGTCGTCAGCAACTGGGCTACTTGGAAAGTGTGACCAAAGGGGGTTAAGGATGGCGTCAGGGTAATAGTGTGCAGCTTGCATTCTGTCACACAGCTAATTCTGAGGAACTCTTAGATTTGTTTGGGTGTATAATTGTGTCGAATACTCCTTGAGCTTAGGGGTTTGGTCTGCAGAGTTAACCTACATAGTTTTAATTGTAGCAAATCAATGGAGTCCAAACAAGGCATAACCACAGGTCACCTCATTAATTACCATTGTCAGATTTAACAGGACCAGTCAGCTCATCCACCTGGACCTGAGTGTGTTTGTTTTGTTTTTAACTTGAGTTTTGTAGTAGAGCTTTGTTTTAGTTGAATTATATTTTGGGTTTTGGGGGTTTGGCACTAAACATAACAAAAATTAATTCTGATCCCTTCTGGGCTCAAGTGACGTTTTTCATTTAGGAAGCCAAGACATAAACATAGGACATGGGTGACAGACTAGATATATCTGCTAAGGGTCCTGTAGCCCTCCTCAGTTTTGAAATTTTAGCACCATAAGTAGAAAAGAGATAATCTGTGGGAAGTGAGACAGCAGCCCACACAACTGGAAACTTTCAAAGGCACTTAATGGATATAAAACTCGGCAAAGGAAACATTAAAAAATTAAGTTTCTCAACTTGTTTATACATGGCTCATTTGGTTTTGAAAGCTAAATGTGGAGAACAGGCTGTCGATATTTCGAATACTCAGGTGCATCGAACTTAAGCTGTCTTGTCCAACTTGTAAAAATGAACATTCATAAAGTATATAGAAACATAATAGCAAAACATCTTTTGTAAAAGTTTTGATGCAAATTAAAAGCTACATCTTGGTTAGGGGAACTGAGGCTTTCAATTTTGTTAATGGGCTACATTATCACACAGGGTTTCTTTGCCAGTGTAGTTAGTGTGTGTCATTGTTAGTAGTTTCAGGAACAGGCAAGCAATCTCAACATTGTAAAACTTTACCTTCCGGGTATCCCAGCCTTGGAGAGTCCAGATCACGAGAGCAGTCCTAAGCGCCAGCAGCAGTCTGAGCTTGTGCGTCCCTGCAGCATCGTAGGCGTTTCCCAGCAGCCAGTGGTGAGGCCGTGCCTGGCCTCTGCAGTTGCTGGGTGGTAGCAGCAGCATTAACGGAAGAGGTTTCTGGCCTTACAGACATCGCCACACAAACACACTGTAAGAACAAGCCAGCTGGTTATTTCGCATGGCTAGCCACAGTCTTACCAAGTACTTGAGACTTGAATGTTTGAATTGGTCTTGCCACCAATTACAGGTGCATTGCTCTTTTTCATTTAAAAAAGTTGTGTTTGGTTTGCTTTCACTCCTTTGGCAGCTTGTCTGTGCTGAATGTGGTAACTGCTTTTGGGCATTTGACTTCATGCTCACTCCTGTGCCACTGAAAAGGTTTTATCAACACCACTTGAGGCGAAGAGCCCTTTCGAGTATTCAGCACAGGGCTAGGGATTACAGTACGTTCCCAAGCCTAGGAAGTCCCGTGGGCGCTGACCCCCTAAGACTTTTATAGGGAACAGAAGTCACTTTGTCTCCCGGGTGGGGGTGGCCAACTCACTTCTATCTCTTACTCCTGGCTTGTTCACAGTTGGCCCGGTGCTTATCCACAAGCGCTGCTGTCAGTACTATTGTCTAGGGCTCTAAGTGTCTGCCAGTGGTTGGCACAGCATGCAAGAAACGGCTGCTCCAAAGCAGGCCAGCAGGAAGTACCACAGCACTTTTGGGTTCTAGGTGTCTCCTGCAGCCTAACAGCCTACTAAGAATATCACATGCATGCATTTCTTCTTTATCCCTTTAGGAGTCTGCTTGGATGAACAGAAACCAACATCCATGCTGCAACAAAGCCTTTCAACTACTTTGGATGGGGAAAAGCTGTCAGTTTCGTTCCTCCACACTAAGCAGTGCCCTTGTTGGAGGGGCACCCAGAAGAAAGCCGTGGCCTTGGGAACACCCAAGGGACTGGGGTCCCCAATGAAGGAGGCTAGCAGAGCAGCTTCCAAACCCTGGCTTCCTCAGTCCTCACGCACAAGGTCATGCCAGTTTTCACACAAGGTCAAAACTGCCCTGATTGGGAGCCTAACTAGCTGCTTGGAGTAATCTTCCTGCTGCTAACTAGCACTGGATATAAGCATGTTACCTCATCTGACAGCACGTGAAAGTGGGCTAACTCTTGTCCTGCTTGTTTCTTAGAGTGAACAAGGCTTACCACTGAGGCTTTAAACATCTCTCTTGGCTGTGGGGTAATCATGTGTGTTAAGTCCACTGAGAGTCCTTAAAAGGACAAGGATGAATATCCATCTTGGCCTGAGCTGTCAAGGGCTCCTGCAGAAGGCAGGCATCTCAGGTCTCTCACCTGCCTGCCCCTTCCTGCCTGCCGTACTCAAGGTAGCTGTCACGTGCTCTTGGCTTCTTACAAATCCCAGGACAGCTATAGGAAACAGGGCACAGGCCCATCAAGGTCGGGTTGAGTCTACGGGGACCGAATTAACTTATACCTAGAGAGGCCTTGCCTACGTTAAGACTGAACAATTTCCTGGTTTCCATCCTGCCCGTGCTTCTGGGAGAGGCCACCTGGGCGAGGGCGGGAAAGAAGGCCAGGCCTGGGCACCAGAAGTGGATTAATCAGATTAGTTACCTGCAGTCATCTCCTCCAGTGCTGACCACATACTTGTCATCATAAGAGAAACGGATGTTGGTCACGTGAGCTGAGTGACCAAAGTAACGCTTGTGTTTGGCCTGTAGGCAAAAGTGAATGAGACGGGTAAGAGGCCCTGCTCCTCCAACAAATTCAGACCACACCCGGCCTCAAATGCTCTTGCCTGGGACCTCCCCAACTTGGGACTCCCAGTTCATGTGGACGTCTCCGTTCACCAGCCTTTTGCCCTTGCCCTACTTGCGGCCATCCTGTTCACCCTCCACCCTCCCTTCTCCCAGCTCCTAGGGCTGCCCCTGCAGAGGAGGTGGAAAAGTGAGTCACTGGTCAATCTCCACAGGACTGAGACAAGATGCCCGTCTCGCAGAGGGCCAGCTAGATGTGGCCACCATGTCCCACGAGAATCAAGAGCCAAGAGCCTGGAGGAGGTACAGGGACCCTACTGTGAGGAAAACTCACAAATTTTTCTGTGCATGGAAAATCAAAGAGCTTCACCAGCCCAAAATCATCTCCCGTGACAATGTTCAGGCCAGCATGGGTCACACAGGCGCAGTTGACGTCAGCCTTGTCCGCATTTCGAGGCCAGATTCCAATGACTTCATCTCCTAGAATGCTATCTCGGCAGGAAGAGGTGTTAGAAGGAAGACACGTAAGAAGGTTTGTTGTGTTCTAGCATCGCTTCCCAGGGATACAAGGTCTGACTTGGTGAGGTCACGGGGCTCCCCTGGCACGGCTGGAGAGCGTCTCTGTACACTTGCACCAGCTCTACCTCTCTCTCTCTGCCGTAGTCCCCCACACTCCCCCTCCTCCCTGTAGTCCTGAGCAAGTGCACGCTGGGGAGACACATGGAGGCTCGTTTCCCTTGAACTGACCAGGCATTCTGTTCTCATCCTGTTCAGTGGCTCTGGCCCTCCCCTGCCCCCTGCCCTTTCCCTTGTGACTTGAGGCCTACTTGTGCACCTGAGCTTGGCCAAGAGATAGGAGATGGTTTCCCTTTAAACTTGTTGGATGGGGTTAGGGACTTGTAGGCCTTGTGCAGGACACACAGGAGGAGGACTCCGCACTTCAAAAGCCCAGGATCAAAATCAAGGCCCGTAGCCTACACTCGTACCAAAAAGCCTCCCAATTCACCCCTACAGAAAAGATAGCTCCGTCTCGGAGCTGCTTCCGATTCTGGCCGTATGTGGACCTCGAGGAGAGCCTGTAGTAAGAGACTCCCGTGTGACTTTTGCCTCAAGAAGTGTTTTCCTCCAGTCACCTTGTCCAGGAGGCCCAGGTGATCTTCTCAATGACCATGGCTTCGGTTACCTGCTTCCCCAGGGGGACTTCATGCACCTGGCGCTTATAGGCTCCTGTTGACACCTGCAGGTGGAAGGGAACCCACGTCACCAGCTTTCTTTTGCAGTTCAACAGACTTCAGTCAGTGTGCTGCTGTCCAGAACACGGGCCCTATCTCTGCAGCCCTAGTGCTCTTCTCCAAACCCAAGCTCAACTCCAGGCCGCAAAGCCTGTGGCTAGCCCAGAGCAAAATTCACAAAACCAAGTGAATCTAAAGTCAGCACCTGTTTCAGTGCTCCCCAGCGCCCTGTGCTTGGCCTTCACTTCACATCATAACTGTCATTGCCTGGGTCATTGTGCGCTTGTCTTCCGCCGAGAGCAAGCTCCAGGAGACAGGGACCAGGCCCATTGGATCCATTCATTGGTGAATGAATGAATGCATACTCTCCCTTTCACCCTGCATACCCAACTGCAGGCCAGCTCTCAAGTGCATTTGATAAGCGCAGGAGAAACTATCCGGGTTTGGCTGTCAGACCTGAGGCTGGGGTCTCTCTCAGTCCCTCCCCACTGGTCACTTCCTTTGGGACCCAAGGGTGTGCCCCCTGGGCCCACTGTCTGGAGTCCAGGTCACAAGTGCACAGGGGTCAGGAGACCCAGTAGAATTCAGAATTAGGCAAGAAGCACCACAGGTTAGATACAGCCCCAGAGAACTGGAAATACGCAGTCTTTGAAGGGGAGGTTAAAGACGACCAGGGCTTCTGATTCCGGCTTTGACCGCACAACAAGGCTTTCCCATTTTGAATTCCATTTCTCAACTTTCTTCAATTCTCTAAGCCTCTGTTTCTACATTTATAAAATAAATGTAATACATTTCTACATTTATAAAATAGGGGACAAAGTAAGCGTGCCCTAAAGAGTAAGTGAGCACACTGCCTGGCAAGAAGCAGGCCATCAGAGAAGCCATTGTTGCTGTGACCATTGCTGTTGCTTGCCCCAGATATAAATAAACCTGAAGCAAACCTGAATGTATTTGCTGTCTGCAGAAAAATCCATCTGAATGACAAAGCTTGGAATATCTTTGCAGTAGCCAATGCGGTTCAGACTGGTGCCCTGAGTGAGGTCATAGAAGTCAACTGTGTGCTCAGCAGAACCAACAGCCAAGAATCGGTTGTCAGGACTGATTCTAGAAAAAGCAAACCCAAGAGCAGGTCCATGAGAAGGGCTGCGGGGGCATAGGGCTCCCACACCCCAAGGCACGGAGATCTGCCACCCGACTCTCAGGCGGTCAGCTTCTCCCTGCGCCGAATGGAATTCAGACATTGCTCTGGGTCCCTTCCCAGGAAGCAAGGACATGAATGCATGCAGTGGTTTGCAGAGTGACGTTTTACAAGTCATTTTTTACCAAACTCTTAGAGAAATTAGTCAAGACAGATGAGAGAGTGTGTGAGAGTGTGTGCATTCATAGCAGGCTTGTTGAAAACAGCCTTCCTGGACTGAAAACCACAACCACGGATGAAGAGAATGCCCCCTTTCTCCTCCCTGCCCAGACCGCCCGCTTCCCACGCACCTGATATCTTGGATAGCAGATTTCCGGTCTCTTTTTTTCCCCCAAACTTTCAAGCTGTTCACCAACAAGATGACAAACTCTCCATTCTTCATGCCAATGGCCACCATCTCCCCATCAGGGCTGTAGGCTGCACACCTGGCGGCATGGCCCAAGTTCACCTTGTTTAGCAGCTTCTACATTGATACAAAGTGAAGGCACCTGAGCCCCTGGCCCTCAGCCGGCCCTGTGAGGAAATCCTGCCCCAGGCCAGGGCAGTGAGGCTGCCTGCTCTTGCGCTGTGGGCCACCACCTCCCTTACTTTTCACGGACAATGCCCCTGGGTAGCTCTGTGGGCAGTAGGCTTTGGGGAAGAGTTGGCCTAACTTTTTCTGTACATAGTAAGGCAGTAAATGTCTTAGACTTTTGCAGGCCCATATGGTCTCTGTCCCAACCACTCAACTCTGTCACTGAGGCACAAAAGCAACCATAGATAATATATCAACAAGTGTGGCTTCCTGTGCAGAGGCAGGCAGCAGGCCAGATTTGACCCTCCAGCTGTAGATCACGGAGCTCCTGCTTGGGGAAGAGTCTGCTGGTTCAAATCTGGAATCCCAGCTGACTTCTCAGCTTTCTGAAGTGTAAGGAAGCCCTATTTACATTGCTCTTGCAAGACTGTAGGCAGCCTTAATGATAGTGCACACAGGGCATATGGGATCCAGTAGGTACGCAATACACTGCAGCTACGGCTAACAAATCTACTAAATATTTATAGACACTATCTTAGGAGTTTAATAAACACACTTGGGCTTTTCTGTGTCTGTTCTCTGACTCTCGTACTAAAATTAGGACTGAGACATACAGTAGCCATTTTGAAATGAAACCAAGGATTTTAATTATTAGAACTTAAGTGCTTGTTTTAATATTGGCCCAAACTTAGAAGCAATCTGTTTGTCCCCACAGGCTACGCCTTCCTTTATTATTTTGCATTTTTACCCTGGATGAACTTTAAGATTTTTTCCCAAACTTTAAGAGAATCCATGTTGGGATTTTATCAGGAATACATTAGCCCACGTGGGAACATCTGACATTTAGATGGCTGTCAGTCTTCTCTCCCAGGGAAGACATGATTTGCCTGTCCTGTAGTTTCTTCATAACAAGAGAATAATCATTCTCAAATTATTCCTATGCCCTAACTATTTACAAGTGGATATGGGCTAAAAGATAACAGAATGGGCACGTGAGGGACCTCTTTCGTTCCTAGGCGTCCACCCTGCCTAGTCTAACATTCCCAGGCTCACTTGAAGCTGACCTGTTCTCCAGCCCAGCCCTCAGCCCCAGCCTGATGCTCGCTGGCCTTCTCCTCACCAGGCCGCCGCCAGCCTGCTGCTCCGCTGCGGGCATCCAGCCGAGCAGAGGGCTCCCTCACCTTGTCAGCCAGGTCCCAGATGCGGGCTGTGCTGTCGTTGCTGGCGGAGATGAAGATGTCCTTGGACGGGTGTGTGGCCAGGCCCCAGATCTCCCCTTCCATGTGCCCGTCAATCAGGATGTTGGAAGCAGCATTTTTTTCACCTACTTCAATGATTTCTCCATCTTTGGTTCCCACTAAAATTTTGCCCTGTTGTAATTAAGACGTTATTAGAAAAGGGACAGCTGCTGCCTGAGATACCCAGAATAGTCAAATTCATGGAGGCAGAAAGTACTATGGTGATTCCGGACGGTCTACTGGGCATAGAGTTTCAGTTTTCCTAGATAACAAGTTTTGTGGATGGTTGCACAATGATGTCAGTGCACTTGATGCCACTGAACTAAACACTTAAAAAATGGTTAAAAATAGGCAGGCGCCGCGGCTCAGAACTAAACACTTAAAAATGGTTAAAAAAATAGGCAGGAGCCGCGGCTCACTAGGCTAATCCTCCACCTGCAGCGCTGGCACCCTGGGTTCTAATCCCTGCTGGGGCGCTGGATTCTGTCCTGGTTGCTCCTCTTCCTGTCCAGCTCTCTGCTGTGGCCCAGGAGGGCAGTGGAGGATGGCCCAGGTGCTTGGGCCCTGCACCCCATGGGAGACCAGGAGAAGCACCTGGCTCCTGGCTTCGGATCAGCACAGCGCGCTGGCCGCAACACGCTGGCCATAGCGGCCACTTGGAGGGTGAACCAACGGAAAAAGAAGGACCTTTCTCTCTGTCTCTCTCTCTCTCACTGTCTAACTCTGCCTGTTCAAAAAAAAAAAAAAAAAAGGCTAAAATAGCGGGGGAGATGTTTGGCTTAGTGGTTAGGCCACTTAGTGGTTGGGACTCTTGTGGTCCCATGTCAGACTGCCTGGATTTGAGACCTGGCTGCACTCCCGATTCCAGCTTCCCGCTTACGCAGACCCTGGGAGGCAACAGCTGACGGATGGCTCTCACTGGGTGCCTGCCACCCATGCAGGAGACCTGGACTGAGAACGCTGCTCCTGGCTTTGGCCTGGCCCAGCCTCAGCCATTGTGGTCATTTGGGGAGTAAACCAATGGATGAGATTTCTACCTCTCAACTAAATAAAAATTTTGTAAAAATGGTTAAAACAGTATATCTTTTGTTACATATATTTTGTCACAATTTTTTAAACAGTAGTTTGAAGACATCTCTATCAGGAAGGCTTGGACAAGTGCCTCTGCTGCATTGGAGTTAAAGTAGCTGAGGGAAGTTCTGTTTTTAACAAATCCATCCATCCCTCGGCATCTCCTCCACTTCTCGCCATCAACTACTTTAGGCTCGAACTCGAGCACCAAGTTCTCTGTCATCCAGACCCCACTAGAACATTCTAGTGATTGCCATGACACCTCAGAGTGGAAAGCCAATTTCTTCCTTTTCTTTAAGATTTTAAGAATGTATCTGGGGGCCGGCGCCATCGCTCACTTGGTTAATCCTCCGCCTGCCGCACCGGCATCCCATATGGATGCTGGATTCTAGTCCTGGTTGCTCCCCTTCCATTCCAGCTCTCTGCTGTGGCCAGGGAGGGCAGTGGAGGATGGCCCAGGTGCGTGGGCCCTGCACCCGCATGGGAGACCAGGAAGAAGCACCTGGCTCCTGGCTTTGGATCAGCGCAGCACCGGCCGTGGTGGCCACCTGGGGAGTGAACCAGCGAAAGGAAGACCTTTCCCTCCCTCCCTTCCTCCCTCCCTCTCTCTCTGTCTATAACTTTACCTGTCAAATAAAGGACCCTGATGTCTGGGTCATTGTTTAAAAACAATGTATCTGAAAACAGAGAGAGAGAGAGAGATCTTTCATCCTCCTGTTCATTCCACAATGGCTGAAACAACCAGGGCAGGGCCAGGCAAGGAGCTTCATCCGGGTTTCCCACCTGAGTGCAGGGACTCATGCACTTGGGCCATCTTCCACTGCTTTCCCAGGCACATTAGCAGAGATCTGGATTGGAAGCGGAGTAGCTGAGACTCAAACCCCTGCCCATATGGGATGCCGGTGCCATAGACGGCTTAACCACTGTGCCACAGCACGGAGCCCTAGACAGCCAACTTCTAAGACAGCTCAAAATCTTACTCAGCTCTTCCTTCCACTGGACCCTGTGACTCTGCGCCTCTCCCATGCCTAACTCACAGCGTGGCGGCTTGCTTTAAGGACTGAACAAACACCCACAGGCAAAGTGCGTGGCTGGGGAGGTGTCACAGGAGGGCTCACCACCACCACCCTGCCCCCGCCCGCTCACTTTGCCACGGCACACGGAGCGCACGCACTCCACCAGCTGCCCCGTCTCCAGCTGGAAGGCCCGGCACCGCTTCATCTCCTGGTCCCACAGCTTCACAGCACCTCCTTCCTTGGTCCTAAAAAAAAAAAAAAGATGGGGAGGCACACAGCCCATCACCCTTATCCTCAGCTCCCCCCACGCCCCCATCCATCAGGATTACAGGGCCCAGCAGAACAGACCGCCCAGGGTCTGGCCCCATTTTTAGTGCTCATAACCCCCTGAACTTGTAGATTTCCTCCAGCCCCTTCCAACAATGTTATCTTGGGAGCAAAGAAAACTTAAGCTGGAAAATCCGATGATTTGTACTTGAACGTTCCCCATCTTCCCGCTCCCTGGTCATCTCTTTCCTGGCCCCGGTGGAACTCCCTTGCCCTCCCCTCCCGACCTCCTCCTTTCCCTCAAACAGCTACTGAGGGTAAGACCTGAGGAACAGCGGTGCCTCCAGTTTACTCCAGGAGGCCTCTCTGGTCGGTAAGCCGCCCGGAAGCACCTCTCTCCGACTTGGGAAGCCTGGACCCGGAGCCCTCACGCAGAAAGGCAAGGTGCAGGGCCATCTAGACTTTCTCCCCTGGCCTGCGCCCGCAGGAGCCGCCACTTACGGCCGCTCTTTGCCGCCGGTCACGATGAGCCCATCCCGGAGGGTGGTGTACATGGTGAACACGGGGCCCGTGTGCGCCTTGGCCACCAGCCGGACGAGGAAGTGGTCCTTCCACACGTAGACGTCCCCGTTGATGGCACCCGTGAAAGTGAGGTTGTTCTGCAAGCAAAGCAACACCTTCCTTGCTCACAGCACCCCCACAAGGGTCCCTTCCCACCCCCACCCCGTTACAGAACCAGAGCTGGAGAGGCAGATGTGCGCGGGCCATTGCGTGTTCCTGCGCTAAGGAAAGCAGCACGGGCGTATGACTTCCCGGAGTCTGGCTCCACATCCACAAGCATCTGGAGCCCCGAGAGTGTGCCCACGGGACAGCCTGCGCCACAACCCTGCCTCAGCCAACCCAGGGAGGGGTCACAGCCACAGCAGAAGGGGCGCCAGAGGGCACACCCCAGCCGCCGACATGGGGCCCTGGGGGCACTGGTGGAGCAGAAGAGCTGGGAAGGAAAAGACCACCCGGGAGCAGCGGAAACTTCCCAGCGTCCTCCGGGCTAACCCCAGGTGCAACAGGCAAGCCTGGGGCTGCCTCCGCAATCCCGCACCTCCAGCCCCGGGCTGGGTCCTTCCTTTTCCCCATTCACATTGTGAGACAAGACTGTCTCCCGCGAGTGCTGAGTGCGGGGGGACGCGTAGACGCGCAGAAGGCAGCAGCGGCTCTCCTACTGTTCGCCTCTTCTTGGGCCCCCTCCCCGGCGCCCACACCCAGGACTTCCGGGTCCCCGTGGGCACTCACAGCACCGAAGGCCACGGAGAGCATCGTCTGCATCTTCGCAGCCTCCATCGACCCGATGACCCCTTTCTTGTACAGCAGGGCGCTGCCCGCCAGGGTCCAGAACTTCATGTGTTTGACCCCGACGGACACAAACTGCGTGTCTGAGTCAGGGCGAAACTCCACCACGAAGATGCGCTCCAGGTGGCCGCCTCGGCTGGCGACCTTGGCACCTGTCAGGGGGACAGAACCCGCTAGGATCGGCCCTCTGAGCCTGCCGGCGTACCTCAGGCTCCCGGGCAGCCTCTTTCTTCTTGAACAAGCGGCCTCTGCCCTGTAGACACTGCCCTCAAGGCCAGGGGAGGACAAGGATCTATGAGGTTTCCAGAACAGCCTGCAGCTGCGCAAGTAGAAGTGGCCCAGGAGATGGAAGCTCTCGGAGGCGAGAAAAAGGCAAAAGGCTCTCAAGGGCACCCCCATCTTCCCTCCTCCAGGCTCCCACCACCCCACTGGAAGCCTAAACCTCTCAGCGTGTTCCACAGGGGACTCACCTTCCTTTAGGCGGTCCGCATTCGTTTCTAAGGTTCTCTGCATTTATTTTATTTTAAAAAAGGTTTCCCATAGTCCTTTTAATTTTGTTGCTTTCAGGTTAAGAATTTTTACCTTATGTATTTAATTGCTAGTTTTCCCCCTCAATCCAATTTATGTATGGTTTTGACTCCCCTGCATTCTAATGAACATTTTTTTTTTTTTGACAGGCAGAGTGGACAGTGAGAAAGAAAGAGACAGAGAGAAAGGTCTTCCTTTGCCATTGGTTCACCCTCCAATGGCCGCTGCGGCCGGCGCACCACGCTGATCCGAAGGCAGGAGCCAGGTGCTTATCCTGGTCTCCCATGGGGTGCAGGGCCGAAGGAGTTGGGCCATCCTCCACTGCACTCACTGACCACAGCAGAGAGTTGGCCTGGAAGAGGGGCAACCGGGACAGAATCCGGCTCCCCGACCGGGACTAGAACCCGGTGTGCCAGGCGCCGCAAGGCGGAGGATTAGCCTAGTGAGCCGCAGGCAATCAAACTCCAACTCCATCATAGCAAAGCAGCTTTGGACACAATGTTTAACCGTCCGGGTCTTAGTCACCTTACCTGGACTGGGCCTATCCTCACATAAACTGGGGATTAAAAAATGTTGCTATTTTCCATAAGGTAAAGATTTAAAGAACTGCTACAAGCCGTAAGAAGAGTGCTTGACACAGCATCGTGGTTTTCTTCATGTCAGCGCCGCTCACTTTACTGCCTTCTTGGCTCTCTGGGCTTCTATTCTCGGAGCTTGTATTTTAAACCCATCTCTCTCTTTTAATCTTATTTCATTTTTAAGACTTTGAGTTTTTATTTTCAACTTCTTTTGCCTTTTTTAAATCAAACTGAGTGTTTTAGTTCCATTTTCCTCTTAATAGTCTCCCCTCCCTTTATTACTTTTTCTATCCATTTCTCAGAATTCTACATTTACTTGTTTTTGTAATGTACATCTTGTAGGGCAGAGGAGGGTCTTCAAGTTAGCTGGGTGTGCAGTGGCCCCCTCAGACACTCCCCCAGGGGATTCTTCTCCAGGAGAGGCTGGGGAGACCCACAGGTCACCTCTCCCTGCACACGAGTCCATGACTATCTCACTAGTTATGGCTCAGAAGTTTCAGAACCCCTGCCTGGTCTCCAAGGACACCACAACAAAGGTAAAAAACAGATCAGGAGAGAATATTCGCAATGCTTCTAAGAGCCAAAGGATTAACATTAATACTCCATAAGGAACTGAAAATCATCTGAAAAAGACAAGCCTCCCACCCCAGCAGAAAAAGCATTTGAACGAGCCAGTGCAGAAGCAGCAATACCAGTGTCCGACAATGAGAGGGACGGAGGGTGGATCCCTCTCGTCAAGGGGGAGATGCAGAGAAACAAGGAGAGGAGCATTTTTCCTAAGCCACTGTCTGCCTTTTCCTGAATTTCAGAGACACTTCTGATTATGGAGACACCTGTGATCCTCTCTGCATCGGGTTCTACTCTGCTTCGGAAAAATTAGACATCCAGGACTCGAGTTCATGCGTCTTACGTAACAAGCGCATTTTAAATTCCATTTTATTTGGCTTATTATTATCTACACACTCAGAGAGCGGGTCCAGAACAGCCCTCACAAATGAGATAACAAATGGTGAGAACAAAAGCTAAGCAGGCCTCATCAAACACACACCACGCATCTGCGGGCACGGCTTGTTAGTGCAGGGAACCCGCGCTGGGGAAGTCGGGGAGAAGCGGTGCTGAGGCCACAGCTGACCCGGGAGAGGCCGTGGCAGGTAAGGCTGTCAGCTATTCTCACTGCCCTCGCTCGGACTCATTCCCAAAGGGACGACGGGAGGCCTCTCTCTGAGAACTCGCTTTAAGTCCTGGATCCTCCGATCCTCCCTTGGAAGGTCACAAGGGCCCTGGGCAGGGCTACTTGGAGGCTGTGAGGAGAGGGAACCTGAACTTAGACAAGACTGCGTCTGAGCCATGTGACAGCTTTCTTCCAAGGACCTAGGAATGGGAGGCACTGCCAGAGGCGGCTAGGTCTCCTCTAGGGACTTCATAGTCTTCATAGACTTCATAGGTCTCCTCTAGGGACTTTCTGTTGGCTGGGCTCCCCGTGGAGGGGGCTGGCGGGATCCCGTCTGGTCCCCCAGCTCCAGCGCTTTCCATGCACCAGTTAAGACGCGCCACTTCTCATCCGGGCGAGTCTGCCTATCACTTGCGATACCAGTTAGGGGGCCCTTGCACTCCACATACTCGTGAACAAGAAGGGGGAAAAATGCGGTTTCCTGGGAATACTAAGGACCCATCTCCCTCTTGATGGAATTTGATGAGTGAGTCTCACCCACAATCTCTGCCGGCCATCCACCCTTTTTTTCCTTCTGGGGGCTCAGGAAGGAACTTTCCTTCCAACATGCTCATCTCTTGCAGCCGCCCCTCCCCCACCCCGCCACGGGAACCTGACAGATAATGGGACTCCAGAGTCCCGCGCTGGACACGTGCCACCTCTCTGCCCGCCTGGCTCAGCGTGTCCCAGATACAGGCTTCCCGGCTGCACGCAGACCTCATTAACATCCTCACTAATTGGATCTGCTTTCGCCAGAGCAGCACCTGACCTGAGAATATCCTCCGAACACCGCACATCTTTCATTCTAGGATGTCCATAAATTTAGTAGCAGCTGGTGTATGTGTGTGTGTGTGTGTGTGTCGGGGAGGACAAAAAAGAAATCGGCTGCATGAAACCTAAGCCTTGATTGTTGGTGAATTCTCATGTCTAAAAAACTGAAAGAAAAATGTAAATATCCAAATGTATTTCTGAGGCTTCCATGCTAAAATATTTTCCCATTTCCTATAACAAAGTCAACCCAAGTGATGCCTATCACAGGATCTAAGGACGAGGAAGTCAGGGTAGGAAGGTGGACGGGACAGAAATGGGCAGGAGGCTGCCTCGGAGGAAGAAGGTTGCCAATATCCGGGCCATTCCAAGTCCCCAAAGATCCTTCATGAAGCGGCCCCGGGGCCCCTGGCCACAGTTCCTCTGGTGGCCTTTGAAGTGGGGCAGGTGGGGTTGGAGCGCAGCCCACAGCACAGCGAGCCCCGAGGAGGAACAGCCGAGCCGGGCGTACCTTCCTGCCATCGCCACACCGTGATGGTGTGCTCAGGGTCCACTCCCACTGACACCAGCAGCTTTCCGGTGGCGCTGAAGTTGACGTAATTTACCCCCTTGGAGTGGAAGCACCGCAGCATGGAGAGGGTGTGTTTGGTCATGGCGTCCCAGATGTGGATCGACGGGGTGGTCCCTGGGTGTGGGGAGGCACAACACAGAACTGAGGCGGAGAGCGGCGCGCACACGAGAATGCCCGTGCTCCTTTCAATGCCTTTGCTGAGACAGCACTGGGGCCTTTGTGGTCTCTGGGCATGAGATCTACGGTCTGACCTGGCCCCGGGAGAAAGACAGCGGGAAACTGTGGACATCTACATCCAGCACACACGCACACACGTGCGGAGGATTCGAGACACGGGAAACTGGTGAGGTCAATGATTTGTATCAGCAATTCTGCCAGATACAAGCAGCAAACAGGACACACGGACATGGTTTTGCTGTGCGGAGTCCGACTACTCACGGGTGGCACGGCCTTACCTGGGGTCTCCGGGATATCACCTGCATTGGGTGGGCAATGGCAATGAGGAAGCGGCAAGGGAAAACAATAGCTACGGTAAGTCACGTCTCCGAAGGGAAGCAGTCAGCACCAGCATCACAGAGTTCCAAATGAAACTTAAGAATGGACATGGGCTCAATGAAAACAAGCAGGAAGATACTTGTGTAAAAACTGCCCTTGAAATGACAAAGTAAAAAAAGAAATAAATAAATAAACGAATGAGCAAACTTCTCACAAATGTGAATCGGTCACATTTGCTGTGGGCAGGTTCCCAGAGCGCAGAGGAGCCAGGCACACACACTGCAGTCTGCCCAGGCACCACCAGCAGCCTTCAAGACGCGGGGCTCTTCTTGGGACACCTGGGGCCCAAAAAACTGTCCCCCCACCCTCGGGGACGGGGTGTCCATTTCTTTGGACTGGCAGGCTCCAGATATGCCTTTGTGCTCCCTCAGTATCCCCCATCGATGGGAGTGTTAACACAGACCCCCAGAATCAACAGCAACAGCAACAACAAAGAGTGGGCGTCAGGGGCCCAATTACTCCCTTGGCCAGTAACTGCTAACAGTCACCGTCCCTGCTCAGCCGCGACAGCCTCCGCTGCTGCAGGGCCCCCTACCTATCTGGCTCGTGGCCACCACGTTCCGGTACTTGGGGTGCTGGTTCACGGTGAGGCAGAGGATGTCATCCGTGTGCTCCAGGTAGAAGCTCTGGCTCCCTAAGAGAGAGGGAGACACGGGAGAGTGATGGGAGAGGGCATCGGCAACCCCAGGGCTTCATGTGGAGTCTGGAGATTCCTTGCACAAGTGAGAACTTAAAGCCTCCAAATGCTCACTTTAGAACCATCTTTGGGAAGACAGGAAGTCCCTTTTAAAAATTTACATGTTCATTCTACATCTGGGGGAAAAGTTGGTATTCATTACTACTGTGTCTGAGCTCCACTTCCATGCTTCCTGCGGCCTTATGAGGTCCAGAGACCAAAATGGTCAAGTTTAAGATTTCCTCCCTGGCCAGCGCCACGGCTCACTAGGCTAATCCTCCGCCTTGCGGCGCCGGCACACCGGGTTCTAGTCCCGGTCAGGGAGCCAGATTCTGTCCCGGTTGCCCCTCTTCCAGGCCAGCTCTCTGCTGTGGCCAGGGAGTGCAGTGGAGGATGGCCCAAGTGCTTGGGCCCTGTACCCCACGGGAGACCAGGATAAGTACCTGGCTCCTGCCATCGGATCAGCGTGGTGCGCCGGCCGCAGCATGCTGGCCATGGCGGCCATTGGAGGGTGAACCAACGGCAAAGGAAGACCTTTCTCTCTGTCTCTCTCTTTCACTGTCCACTCTGCCGTGTCAAAAAAAAGAGGAGACAAAAAAAAAGATTTCCTCCCTCCCGTGACATGGGATTGAGGGCTTCTTGATATCTATAGGTGGGCGGGACCGGAGGTAATGCTTTACTGCACGAAATGGCACCACTCACTCATCATAGAGGGAAGAGTGAAATAAGAAATCTATAGGGAGTTCCCTGTTAATCATATTTACCAAGTGTCAATCTGCTTGAGTACCTGGATGACAGCTTTACCCTCCAGAAGTCTTAAGTGGACATACATCACAGGAAGTAGAAGTAAGGGCAAGAAGTGCTTTATCATCTAGTGTAAGAAATGTGGTTGCTGACTTCCTAAGTGGTCACTTTAAACTCACCCAAATTCCCAAGGTCTGAGAGGCGAATGGTAGTGTTTCTCTCTCTCTCTCTCTCTCTCTCTCACACACACACACACACACACATACACACACACACAGAGCTACTAAAATGGTAACATGTAGCTAGACATTTGAAAATATGTATAGAAAATTTCAAGACCTTCTTCTCCCTCAAAAAGGCACAAATCAGTATGTGCCCAGTGACTCCACTAAATTTATTTAGGACCAACTTCCTAGAATTGGGAAGGGACAAAAACATTTGAAAAAAAGGTCTGTTTTGAGATTTAAAGCAATTAAGGCAAAGTTAACATATTTAAATCTGGTGTCAAAGATATGGATGTCTAGGGGATAGGTATTTAGCCTAGTGGTTCAGATGCCTGATATCCACGTCAGAGCCCCTGGGTTCAGTTCCTGGCTGTGGACTCCAGCTTCCTGCTCATGTGGACCCTGAGAAGCAATGGTGACGGCTCAGGTAACTATGTTTCTGTCACCCACGTGGGAGACCTACACCCGGACCTAGACATGAGTCCCTGGCACTGGCCCAGGCCCATCCCAGCTCCTGAGGGCTTTTGGGGTGTGAACCAACAGATGGCAGAGTTTTCTCTTTCTCTCTCAAATAAATAATTCTAAAAAGATATGAATTTTTGTTAAATTAATTTCTAAAGGCTTTTTTGTTCAAAATGTTGCTTATCTTTATTTTTAAATGGAAGTCATCAAGGGACACTGAATATTTTTGTCTATCATTCTCATTGTAAATACAGCCAAGCAGCCCCAATAAACAAAACTTGAAAAACAAGAGCTGCTAAAAAATCCCCTGTGCTTTGTTCTTGGTTACGGTCTCCAAGGACTTCTCTCCTCCCCACACCCTGCGCTGGCTCCTCTCCATGGTGCCCAGCCTCTGAGGAGCTGACGTAAGCATAGACAACTCCCCACTAGGGTTTACAGCAAGGCCTGGCGGTGTTCAAGCCAGAGAGGAAGAGGGCTTTGTCTCCTGGAGTTGAAGACTAACTGAGAATAGCCTGGAATTGAGGGGAATGGCTCTACATGAAAGGAGCTTGCTGAAGCATTTGCACATCTGAGAGTGGGAAAGCGTAGCAAGGAGCGCCAAGGAGAGGCCAGATTCTGACGCTGGTGCGGCCCCATTACCTGTGGTGAGGTTCTGAACGATGCCGGCCGCTGCCGTGTGGAAGATGATGTCGGTGCCATCGTTAAGGTAGTGCAGGTTATTGCGGCAGTCAAACCCTCGGTAGCCAAACACATGGTCCAGGGCCAGCTCCTGCGTTCACACACACAGAGTACAGTGACCCTCAGCGACAGTAAGAACAGAGGAGCATGCCCACATCCCAGGAACAGCCACGCCGGCACAGGAACAGCATGGCTGGTGAGGCCAATGGCCAGTTGCTGGAGACACGGTGCTCCTGGCCTACCCCGGGACAAAACGCAGCCCCTTCTCCAGTTCCCTGAAATGTAAGGCTGGCAGAGGGGTACACGGGATTACAGTGACTTTTCTAAATAAACCAGATACACTTGCCGGTTCAGTGGGTGAGCCCAGGCCTACACACTTGATACCCCAGAAAGGCCGCCTGGGAGTCTCAGGTCTGTGCCTCAGTGGCCCTGCAGGTGAGCTGAGTAATGGCTCCGAGACTGGCTCCCCTCAGTCCCATAAATGTGGCTGGGACCTGCAGAGCAGAATATTGGGCAAATGTTTGGTGCTCGGCCTATAAAGTTTTTACGCATTTGCATGTTTGTCCCGACAACCAGATTCTGTTCCTGGTTTGTGGTCTTTCTGTCTTGAGTCCCGTGACAAAGAGCAGTGGCTGATTCACGGCAGTTCTCAACTGATTTCAACACACGTTCATCGGGCACCACCTATAGGGCTGGCACTGTGCTGGTTGGTGGGATATGAAGTTAAGATGTGAGTTTCCCTTCTCTGGTTTCTTTGAATCTGGCCTTTTTTCTAAATAAAGCTCACCAATTACAAGCAGGTTAATTTTCCTAAAATACTACAACACCTCTTAATTCAATAAAAGTTCAGAGTCTTTCATTGCCTATGGGATATAAGTTCAAACTCTGTAAGGTGGCCCACTGGGTCCTTTTCCCACACCCCCAACTCCAGCTCCCGCACCCCTTGGTCGGGCCTGACTCGTCCATGGAGCTCACACAGCGTGAGCGTTCCTATCCTTAGGATTTTGTTTTTTGTAAGTATCACCTGGAACGCCTTTCTCTTCCTTTCACCTTAGCAAGTGTCAGTCTCTCCCTCAGGTATGCTTGCCAGAAGCTGTGTGTGCAACATGTGACCCCACCCAGGCAAAAACAGTTCAAGAAGTCTGCAGATAAAGAGAAGAATGCACCAGGCGCGCACAAGACTCCTCCGGGAAGAGAGGAGCCATCTGGCTTATGATAGGTCTGCAGCTCCTGGCTGTCTCTCCTTACGCTCAGCTGCATGTCCTGACGTGTGCTATGTTTCATGATAAAGCCGCTTACTAAATACCCACTTTCCAATCAATCTGAAGACAGGGATTTTGGCTTCAGTGAGTGCACAGACCAGCAGAGGAGCTGGAGAGATGAGCGGGAAATGAAGTTCAGCCAAGAGGCAATGAGGGCTGCAGCAGAGGGGGAGTGAGGAAGGGTTCAGGGTGAAGGGCGTCACTGGAGAAGGGTCTGGGTGGGGCCGGGCTGGACAATAGAGAAGAGTGAAAACAAGCCAGGAGCAGTGGTGCGCTTGCGTTAGGGATTTCTCTTGTGGTGGGGAATCACAGGCAATGACCTTGGAAGTGGCCCTGGCTAAGGTTGCAAAACCACAAACTTCAACCCCATTGTCAATGTCAGAATCCCCTGAGTCTTAATTGCTGGAGTCAGGTAGCAAAGATTAATATTGTAAAGGGTTAACTCTGGGAGTTTACTGGAGCTGATCCTCAAGTCTCAACAACCGATTGAATCCTTTCTCTGATTACTGGCCTACTGATCTTGTGCATGGAGCTTTTTTTTTTTTTTTTTTTTTTTTAAATTAACTTACCTATTTGAAAATCAGAATTATGTATAGAGAAGGAGAGATAGATATTCCAACCACTGGTTCACCCTCCATATGACCACAACAGCCAGCGCTGGGCGAGGCCAAAGCCAGGCTCTTCATCTGAGTCTCCCACATGGGTGGCAGGGGCCCAAGCACACTGGTCATCTGCTGCTTTTCCCAGGCCACTAGCAGGGAGCTGGATTGGAAGTGGAGCAGCTGGGACATGAATCGGCACCCACATGTGATGCTGGCGCTGCAGGTGGCAGCTTTACCCACTATGCCACAACACCGGCCCCTGGTGCATGGAACTTAACAACCCTCTTAACTTTGCTGAGCCACAGTGCCCTCACTTGTAAAACGGAAGCTACAAAGCACCTATCTGATGTGTGTCAGGATTGTCTGAAACACTTCCAAGAAGTGCACAGCCCAGCACCCGGCACACAGCAAGTGCTCACACAATACTGGAGGCAGCGAGGAATCAAGCTCTCTCCTCCTCTGTGGCCTCTCTTGTCCATGAAAGGGATACTGAGGCCCCAAGTGGTACATGTAGTGGGGAAGGGAGCCAGGTTTAAGGTCATTGGCCATTTAGAGTTAGTCCTGATAGGATAGGGTAGGGAGGGGAAGAATTGAACTATGATGCTGGGGTCCCAGGGGTGGGGGGCACAGAGAGAGCTAACAGGCCCATGGGTTCCCCAGTGTTGTGGGCCATGAGGAAGGTGGAGTCCAACAGGCAGCTCTCAGTACAACAGGACTAAAAGTGAACACAGGATTAAAAGTGAAACAATGTTGAATTTTCTCACCTCAACCAGCTTCTTTTTTTTGGTGATATTGTTCTTCTGGAGCTTGTCAGGCTGGGGAGCTGCGCGGCTGACAGGTGGTCTGGAACAGAGAGAGCAGCCGGAGGAGGCACAGCATCAAACACGAGCCAGTGAGGTTGCCTACCTGGCGCCTCGGTGGAGGCCAGCGCCAGGCTCCCCACTCAGAGGGCCCTGGCCCTGGGTTCCGTCCTGTCCCCCCTTTCCCTCCCTGCTGGAAGAAGCTCCTGACATGAAAGGTCCTGTGCTGAGGGGGCCTCCCCACTCTGATGGCACCAAAGTCAGGCTCAGTCCCTCCTGCCCACCCTTGGCGTCATCCTGGGAGCCACGAAGGGCACCTGGGCCGGTGAGGAGCCCAGCCACGGAGAGGACGGGGCCCGATTTCCAGAAGCTGCTGGCCACTTTTCAGACAGGGACTTGCCAGCGCTTAGATTTAGATCCCAGGGGGATGTGACATGGGATTCATGAGCCAGGCTCCGGGCCACGTGCAAAATGCCCGGGGTTGGTCTTGCCACATGGAAGGGCAAAGAGGATGCAAAGGCACAAAAGACAGAACTTGTACCTGCCACTCTGTCCCGCAGGGTCGCCTTTTCCTCTCACTTTTGGGCTTTGGGGCTTGCCAAGCTAACTGGAGATCTAGTGAGTAGCCCCTAGTGACCTCCTAAATGACTGGGCTGATTCTTGGTGCTGTGGGGTTCCCTAGACACTAGCATGGCTCTGAGGGGACCCACACCAGCTCCCACTGCACCTGCTCTCACTGCAGATTCCAAATCCACTCATTTATTGCTCCTCGGATATGCAAAGAGAAAGGATTACCTTGATCCCCTTGTAAGCAGCAAACAAAGCCAAGTGAGACACTTAGTACAGTTTAGAGCAGCATTAGCAACCACTCATTCATGCACAAGCATTTTCCAAGTGAACAGACATTCCTGTGTGGCACAAACCATGCTTCCCCAGCATGCCAGCAAGGACTAAAACAGAAAGGAAAGAGTGCGCTGGTCTACACATTCAGAAAGCTCAGACCCTGCCACCTCTGGGCGAACTGCACTAACGCGCCTACGGGACAGGGAGAGAAAAGGCAGCCTTCGCAATGCTTCCGGCACGCTCTCGGGGCTTCACCGGTGTGCCTGGGACTCTGTCCCCGCTCCCCTATGTTGGAGAGAAGGTTCTCCGAGAGCCAGCCACCACCTCCTGGACATAGCTGGGCGTCATGCACAATGGTTACTTTGTGGCCAAATCAGTTCAACTCATAATTTAGCCTGGTAATTCCCAGTGGCTCTTGGTAGGTCAGCTTGCCTGCCGGAATGGCTTATAGGTTTTGTTTTTTTGTGCATGGGAAAACAAGGTCCCTTTATTTTCTCAGAAACTCTTCAATTAAAACATGTTATATAATCACAAGTGATAACTAGGCCAAATGGTACTATAATCACCAGCGAAGAATGGGCAGAGAGCTCATCTCTACGAACGACACCCCCGGCTGACATCATTGCCACCACACTGAGCCCACTCAGAGGCTGGGGGCCAGCCAGCTCGCACAGTTGGATGCTTCCTTCACATTAATTATCGCTTCCCAGGACATCTGCTCTTTCTTCTGTTTTAGGGGGGCTTTCAGATGAAACCGTGGGTCTCTTCGCAGTCCTCAGAACGTTTGTGTGTATGACAAAAGCAAGCCAGGGTCCATGAGGGCAGCAAGGGGCCAGCAGCACTACGGCATGAGTCAGAAGGCATAGTTTGAGATTCAACACAGGGCTCGTTTTCAGGGTACACGCAGGCTGTATAATATGTAATATATTATACACTGTATATAGTTATGCATACAAGCACAAACACTGCATATTTATATATACACGAGACTGTATATATATCATATACACAGAAAGGCAACTCGAGGCTTTTTTTCCACCTTGATGTTTGGTAAAAAAACTGAAAAGTAAAGCGATCTCGGAGTATTTCTTGTTTCACAAGCACACGTTTACAGCTGCATTGCTTCAAAACTGAGGGTGAAAGGCGCAAGGACAGAACACCTGCCTTGTGGCAAAGTCAGCAGGTTTTAAGAACGACCCTTCCCGGCTGCAGATTGTGCACGAGCACTTATGGGGGATGTTGAGCGAACACCTGTGCTTTTCCAGACTGCGAGAATACTTACTTGACAATTCCCTGCCTCCAAAGGAAAGCAAGTTAAAACACAATACAAGTATTAAAGGCTTCTTTCCAAGCATCTATAAACAGTGCTCGTAACATCAGATGTGGGCGGAACTGCCAAAAATTCCCAACACAGCCAAATGCTGGAGTTTCACATTTTTCAGGGGATCTAAATCCTTCCAGATTCAGATTTCATCAGAAATGTGACACTGAAAAGCTTTGCTGGAGTAAGAAAGAGCAGGGAGAGGGCATGAGGACATTCACTCAGCCCAAAAAACACTTTATAGTCGGCTGTTCCCATCTGGCATGGGGTGGGAGAGCGAATGCTTTGGGGAGTTGGCAGGGAGACCTGGCACGGCCAGGAGCTGGAAAGGTGAGGCGGTGGGGGGGTCAGGTGGGAGGAGCAGAGACATAAAGGGACTCGGTGGGGGCGAGCAGGGCTTCAGAATGACTCGGGGCAATGAAGAAGAGAGAGCGCTTCCACTGGGCAAGAAATTTAATGGGAGAAGCTGGCAAGAGAGCAAACAAATCGGATAAACAGGAGAGCGGGTCATGGCCAGGCGTGGGCTCCAGAGAGAGCAGGAGAAGCTCAGATAAGGCAGGGAAACCACGGAGAGGCAGTGAACTCAGGCATGTGACTTGGCGCTGGGTAATGAGGCTGCCCCGTTCTCGCCCAGGGCTGGGGGCCTTGTGCTGTGCTTGTGGGCGGATCTACCACCTCGTGGCCCTGTGCTCCCTGTGCAAACAGGTGGCACATTCTGCAGGCAGAAACAGGGCTGCTGAAGAGAAAAACCTAGACTCACTTGAAGGTGCGTGGAGGGTACCCGACACACTCTCCCCTGACATGGGCCCCCCCCGGGGGGAGGGTCAACGGCCTGGTGTGCATTTGTTCCTCCCAGTCCCCTCCTCAGGAGGCTGGCACAACCCAGCATGAGCTCAAGGTGAGAGCCTGCCGGGAGGCACGGCTTGCAGAGCCACACAGAGCAGTTGTTATAAATGGGGGGTGTGGGAGTGGGGAAACTTAGCTCCCTTAGCCAAGAACAAGTTTAAAATTGCTTTTAGTGTTGTTGGTGAATATTCAAAGTATCCTTGGAGGAAACATAACTTTGTTCAAATTCCAAATGTGCCGTAAAATCCTCTGAGTGTTTTCAGAATGTCTAGGGAAAAACAACTAATCTTAATCCTGGTATTAGACGGGACCAGCACTTGATCCTGAGCACTGTTTCAGAATCAGCCTCTAACACTGCCACACACGGGCTTCTGCAACTCAGTGAACCCCTGACACAATTATGTCTGCTCTTAACGAAGTTTGCTGGGGGAAGGAGGCATGTTTTAACAAGCTTTTCAGAGATGTCTGTGATTTAAGAGAGAAAGATTAAGAACCATTGCTAGGGGCTGGCATCACGGCATAGCAGATAAAGCCGCTGCCCGCAGTGCCAGCATCCCATATGGGCACCAGTTCAAGGCCCGGCTGCTCCTCTTCCAATCCAGCTCTCTGCTATGGCCTGGGAAAGCAGTAGAAGATGGCCCAAGTCCTTGGGCCCCTGCACCCTCATGGAAGACCCAGAAGAAGCTCCTGGCTTTGGATTGGCCCAGCTCCGGCCATTGAAGCCATTTAGGGAGTGAACCAGTGAATGGAAGACCTTTCTCTTTCTGTAACTCTGCCTTTCAAATAAATAAATACATATTTTTAAAGTCACTGCTGTAGGATAAATATAGGTTCAGAGAAAATCTCCAACGCCTGGGATCTCTCTGTTATCCACACAAAAGGAACAGGATTCCATATATTTCTATGTCTTCCAGAACCATCTACAGCGTTGTTCAGTGTCCAGGTGGGGTGAGGGAAAGGAGTCAGACAGAACAAGGGATGCCCTGAGAGAAGTCTGCCATCTTGAAAACACTCTCGCAAAGCCTATGACACAGTTTTTGTTTTGTTTTGTTTTGTTTTTTTCAAACGAGGGTACAGTACCCAACTTGGACACTTGGGTGAATGTCAAAGGATTTGGTTGAGAGGTTCAAAGCGTACAGGTGCAGGGGAAGGAACTTAGAGCAGAGGAGGGCTGACCACTGACGAGGGGGAGGAGTGCCAGGAGGGGCTGCTTCAGAAGTCTGCCTACAGCTGCACTGGACCGCAGTCACTGCCACACAAGGCGGCCGAGCACCTCAGCAGAGGCTCCTCCAGGTCCAGAGGTGCTCTAACTAAAGCACACTTCGCACTTGCAGTCTGACCAAAAGTAGTTTTTAAAACGTAAATATAATAGACCTTGTTAATATTTTTTTGTATTGATTACATATTGAAGTGATAACATCTTGAATCAACTGGGTTAAGTGAAATAATCTGCTGAAACTAATTCCACCCACCTCTTTTAACTTTTTAAAATGTGGCTACTAGAAACGTCACATACATGGCTTGTGTTTTATTTTTACTAGACAGTGCTACTCAAGAAGAAACGAGGTCTTCTTTTCAGCAGGAGGGACATCGAAGAGAGCCAATCAGATGAGGGAATTAGACCACTCCCAGGTCAGCTGCATGGCAGGCAGGAAAGACAGGGGCAGGGAATGAAGCCGAGACAGCGGAGCCTGGACGAGAAGGGGACGGGGAAGGAAGGAGAGGCTGGGATGCGTGTGGGAGTAGGATCAAAGCATTGTTTTTTTTTCTCTCGGAGGAAGCTGGGTGGGGATGGGAAAGACCGGAACCTGTTTCTTGGCTGAGGACTTGGGTTCAACGGCGGGGTGTAGAATTAGATGCAGAGACAAGGGGAGATGATGAGGAGGCACAGACAGGTGGCCAGGAGCAGGCACCAGCTGCAGGGCCAGTCTGGAGTGGAAGGAGGGGCTTACTTCCTCTACGAGAGCAGCTTCCGTGGGTGGGGATGAAGAGAGAGGGACAAGTGTCAAGCTGGAGTTCCTGCCCAGTGGCTC